TGCTCAGGGTCGGATAGGGCCCCGGGTCTGAAGGTTACACCTCTCATTTTTCAAGGTTGCTTGAGGGATTGGGTGTTGATCTTGTTAACGTTGTTCATTGTTCCCCCCCCCCCTCAAAGATACTTTCGGGCTTTAATGCGATGACTTTGGTGTTGGTTCTTAAGGTGGTCAATTCGATGCATATGAAGGATTTCCGACCGATTTCTTGTTACTCTGTGGTTTACAGGTGTATCACTAGGATTATTGTTCGAAGGCTCAAGTCCTTGCTGCCGAGGACTATTTTTGCTACCAAGAGTGCGTTTGTTCCTGGGAAGTCCATTCTTGATAACACCATTATGGCTTAAGAGCTTGACAGCAGGGGTATGGTAGAGTCCCCCTTTCTCCCTAATTATCAATGTAGATCGATCTTCAGAAGGCTTTTGGCTCAGTTGATTAGGACTTTGTTCTTGCGGTCTTGACTGCTTTGGGGGTTCCTCCTTTGCTTATTGGCTTTATTCGGGAATGCTTGACCACCCCCGATATTCTATCTCTTTGAATGGTGGTTTGGTTGGTTTCTTTGAGGGAGCTAAGGGGGTGATGCAGAGGATCCCCAATCCCCCTATATCTTTGTTCTCTCCATGAATGTGTTGCCCAGGCTTTTAGATAGGGTTGCTGACTTTGGGATGTTTAGCTATTATCCTAAGTGTTGCAGAGTTCGCCTAACTAACTTATGCTTTGCGGATGATCTGTTTAACCTTTACTAAGGGTACCTATGAGGCTATTATTGGTGTGTAGAAGTTTATGAAGGTTTTTTATGGGTTTTTTTTTTGCTTGCATATAAATCTAGCAAAGTCGGAGATTTTTTCGTTTGAGGTTGACAATTCCACGTTGCAGGCAGTGTTGGACTCGACGGGTATTGGGTTGGATGTTTCCCTGTTAGATACCTTGGGATTCCTTTTATTTCTAAGAGGTTGTCCGTCCGTGATTGTTCTCCTCTTCTTGAGAAGATTTCTGCTAAGCTTCAAAGCTGGAAATCAAGGAAGCTTTCTTATGCGAGGAGATTGCAGTTAATTCAAGCTATTCTATATAGTCTTCATAATTTCTGGAAGAGGCAGCTTTGTTTGTCGGGGGCTGTCATTAAGAGGACAAATCAAATGTGCACTTAGTTCTTTTGAAAAGGTGAGGACAAGCTTGCTAATGGTGCTCGGATTAGCTAATCTAACAATTGTCGCCTGAAGTTGGAGGAAGGGTCTTGGGCTCAAGGACCTTTTGTGTTGGAGCTAAGAAGCTTGTTTCTTCCTTTTGATTCGGAAGATCCTTCTGAAGGAGGGCTCAATTTGGATCGCGTTGATCCATTCTTATGTCCTTAACAGGGGCTTCTTTTAGCAGATTGAGGGTCCCCAAGGTTACAGTTGGATATGGCAGTGTTTGTTGCACCTTCGGAGTAAAGCAGCTGGCATCCATGGGTTCCTTGGGCCTTTGTTTTCATCGATCAGCTGTATTTAGGGTGAGACTCAGTCCAAGGGGGAGAAGGCCCGTTTGGAGTGTTTTGTGTGGCATTCTGCTCACAGCCCTAAGCATTCAACCATAGCTTGGATGGCGGTTCTGGATCGACAAGGATAGGCTTATTGCGTTTGGACTGCAGGTTGATGGTTTTTGTGTCCTTTGTATGTGTTCTTTGGAATCTCGTGATCACTTATTTTTTCAATGTGATTTCTCTAAGCAGGTCTGTGAGGAGGTTTTGCATTTGTGTTATTTGAATAGGAATTTTATAATTTTGGGGTCATGAGATCGAGTTTTATGGAAGATATTTCATAATTTGGAGTTTCTACGGAAGTTGTTCTCAACCTGACATTAGGAGCAGCCTATTATCGTATCTCCCTTACCCATTACATATGAGAACAAGGGTTAGTTAATTTTTATTTAAATAGGAATGTTATGAGCTGGGATTGGGAGCTTGCATGGGCCTGCAGGTTGCGAGGTTTAATGTTATTCAAGTATATAATATTCATCGAAAAAAGAAAAAGGCTGTCATTGGCATATGAAGTATGAACACTAGTTTTACTCTATGGTAATTGGTAATTTAAAGTTCATAGGTTCATAGTTGTGAAGTCGACACGTGTATAATGTACCCACAAGAATCTAGTTTACTCAGACAGAACTGTTTAGGACACAAACCAATGAGAGACCGGCACGCTTCCTAATCCCATGTCACTGTCTCTTTGACTGTGATTGAATTTGCAAGCGTTTTTTTTAGAGAAAGAAAAATAAAGGAAACTTTCTAAGTAATTTACCCTTTTAATATTTATTTTAGTCTCGAACTATATTAATTTTTTCATTTTGATACTTAAAATTTTTCGTCCCACTTTAGTACTTAAAATATTTTATTTTTATCAAATTCATGTAATATTTTTATTTGTGAAATTAAAAAAACTCCAAATGCCCGATAATATATTTATATAGCATGATTCACATATTATGGAATCAATGGCTTTTTTATTATTATTTTTTTATGATGAGGATTTTTTTTTAAATACACTTTTTCCATCAATGCGGTATTGACTAAAGACATGAGACCAACATTATATATATATAATATAGGGGCGGAGCTCTCATAGTACCCAAGGAGTCTCGACCCTGAAAATTTAGTTTATATTCAATAAATTTTGATCTAATAAAATTTTAGTTAATGTAAAATTAAATATTTAAATTAAGAAATATAAGAATTTATTAGACAATTAATCAAGTAGAAGACGAACTAAAGAATGATAATTCAATACCAACAATCGGTTGGTGTAGTAGGATGAGGCATAGATTCTGACGCAAGATTAGGTTCGAATATTGACAATTGAATGGAGCAAATTGATTTAGTAGGTCGGCATCCCTCTATAGTATCTGATTCGAATTAGTCGACTAATAGAATGGAAACCGGTGGTTATACAAAAAAAAAGGAATGATAATTCAATGTTCTAAATTTTTTGATCTAATAACAATTTAGGTCATTATAAATTTAATTATTAGACAAATTAGACATTATTTTTTAATAATAAGTTTAAATACTTATAAATCATTGTATTTTCTTTAAAAGTTTAATATTTCGACCCCTGTCTATATATATATATATATATATATCATGCTTCTATCCATAAATATGTATGCCATAACCATATACATAGATATGATCTACTTACATTGAATGATTAAGATTAAGATAATCACTGGGTAAACAATTAAGATTAAAATTTTTAAACATTTATATCTATTCTTTTTTATCATAAAATATCTTCTCATTTTCACATTTTTACTATCAACAATCTAATGATCATATATATATATATGGGTTAAGATTTACTTATACCATGTAAAACTAATAAATTTTCTACCAATTTATAACCATTAGATTTAAATAAATGAATGACTAAGATTTAATTAAAATTTATAGCCCATAAATAAATATTTTTTAACTCACAATAAAATAATATTTTTTCTCTTTAAGGTTAGGGTTTAAGATGTAAGCTTTAGGGTTTAAGATTTTGAGATTAGAGTTTATGATTTGAGATTGGGGGTAAAAGAGATATTATTTTACCGGAGTTAAAAAATATTTATTTATGAGTTATAAATTTCAATTAAATCTAAGTCATTTATTTATTTAAATCTAATGACTATAAATTAGTATAAAACTTATTGGTTTTACATAGTAAAAGCGGATTCTGCCCTTATTAGTGTAAAATTATTTTAGTTTTATACATTTTTAGGACCGTTAGATGAAAGAAAATAAAGGCTAAGATTAATAATAGAAAATAAAAAAATATTTATTATAAAAAATAAAAAATTAATCTCATCTTTTGAAAAAAAAAACGTAAATAAAAAGATAATCAAAGATATAATTACCTCTACACAACTTTGTTTATAGAGAAGTCTATCGTAATATTATTGGTATAAGTGACACAATATTATATGTATTTTCTCGTACAATATTATCATAATTATTCTTGTCCTTTAAGTTTTTTTTTTGTCAATTACTCAACACTTTATGTAAATAAAATTAATTACAAAACCCAAAATTATTGGTAAAACGCTTTGTAGAACAAGATTCTTTAAAGGTAAAATCATTTTGGTCTTTTATTCCTCGGATACTATACAAAATATCTTATTTTTGACTGCAGGTTGGAATCTTTGAAGAAAATAAATTAAAAATATATATTTCATTTTTTATGGCAAACATGATATCGAAATTAAAATATGGATCAGATACTATAATACAAAGCATCCTTTGATTATCTTGCTTTTGTTTTTGTCATTTTGACATGGTCGGCTTATCCTCTCCTCATTTCCAACGCTCAATATTGAATATAAAATATTATTATACATATAATCATTTTATGAGAAAAAAACAAAAATTCAAACGAAATGGAGTTATAATTCTCCCATGTCTTTGTTTCGACACGTTGAGCAACACTTAAAAAGGTAATTTGGAATGTCTAAGGTTGATGTTTATGTCGTGTTGTCAACTCAAACTAAATTAACCAATGAAAAAAAAAAGATTAAAGAAGAAGATAAAAAAAAAAAGCAAAGCTTGACCAACTAACAGTACAAGAGGCTGGATGCTTTATATTCGATTTTTGTGGATGAAAAAAAATATATAAAAAGAGATTTGATTTCAATTAGTAATTTAACTCGACTTTGTTCGACTCAATATAATTAAATTTTGTTAGTACTAGGTACAGATACGTAGCTGGCGATGGTAGGGATGGAGTTTGTATTATTTTAGCTGAGCACAAGCCAGCAAAAAGTTAAAGCCCCAGGACGAAGATAAATACATGGAAAGCGCTAGTGCCCCCACTTTGTTTTGTTTTCTTATCTTTTTTCCTTTGTTCTTCCGAGGTACGAAATAGTGAAAACCTAATGGCTATGGCGTCTTAGAGTTCCCTCGTATAATTACCGTATCATAAAGAACCAAACAGAGGGACAGCTCCTTTGCCCTAAAGAAGAAAGAGAGGGAATTGGGCTGTTATTTAGTTGAATAGTAACATTATTATAGTACAATGGGAAGAGGGAAAGTGGTGTTGAAGAGGATCGAGAACAAGATAAACCGACAAGTGACGTTTGCAAAGAGGAGGAACGGGCTGCTGAAGAAGGCTTACGAGCTTTCGGTTCTCTGTGATGCTGAGGTTGCTCTCATCATCTTCTCTAGTCGTGGCAAGCTCTATGAGTTTTGCAGCACTTCTAGGTATACATACATACATACATACATATTACTCTTTATAGCTACTTTTCTTTGCTTTTTGTCTTCGTTTTCATTACCTTTGATGATTTCAAGGGATGGGTTTGATTCAGTTTCATGTTCTTCTTCTTGGATATGTTGGGTTTCTAGCTGTTCTTGTCTGATAATCTGATGTTCCCGTAAACAAACACACATATAGGAAAAAGTTTTCCCTTATTCGAACACAGTTCAATGATGGTTTGGAAGGGGATAATTATGGGTCTTGGGAAATGAAAAACTTTGCTGCTGCTGCCATGTTTTGATCAGTTAACTAGTTCATCGCATGAGTTATCTTAAACTGTAAAGAGCCAGAAATCATGATTATACTGTTAAATTGATAAAATCAAAGGCATGGATTAGGTTAATTCCTCTTATTTGAAGTTGTTTTCAGATCCAATGGTTAATCCAATTATTCATCAACAAGGACTTTGATGCTTTGAGTTTGAATTTAGTAGAGGAAGTTCTTTACTTTTATTCCTTTCGAGAGGGAAATGAATATATATTTGGACTTGGAAGTCATAATATGACTTAAATATTTCATTAAAAATTTGTAATTAAAGTCAATTTTAGTTTTTTTATGCTCTCTCTCTTTGTCAATATCTTCCACTAATTTTATTTCAAAATTCCCAATTGTCCAACTCTTAGTTCAATATTTTTAAACCATTTGTAACGGGACTGATCGAAACAGACACCATCGTTCCTCCTAAAATTTTTAAAATTATCATATATTTTAAATATTTTTTTATTAATTATTTATTTTTATCACCTCTAAGAATTTTATAAGTTCATCATCTCCTAAAATTTTAAAAGTTCAACTCCCTAACATAAAATCAGGTGTCCGTCTCTTATTTGTAATATATATTTTACTAATAATTAATTATATGAGAAATTAAAACTCGTCTCTGTCATTCCCCTTAATTCATCCTTGATGACAAAGATTATATAAGATAACTGTTTTTTCCCATGACATCCCTTATGTTTCATTAAAAAAAATTGCTTTAACCATAATCCATGTCATTTTCTAGAAGAAACCAAGCTTGGGTATTATGATAAGAACCTTGATGTCCCTCAACTAGGGTATTATGATAGAATAAACAATAGTAGAAGAGCTTTGTCCTCTATTTAAAGGTCCAATAGGGATGAATTGATGGGGTGTTGGAATAGTTGTACCTACTCAAAATTATAATTTCTCATATAATTTAATTTCTTTACTTTTTATTTTATATTAATAATATATTTTTCCTTCTTATGGAATTTTATAATCTCATATCTCTAAATCTTTAATATAAATTCTTAAAGATTCGTGTTTTTTAACATAAAATTTTGTCTTTGTCATCTGACTTGACAATAGATTTTTCTACGAAGACTAGAAGATACGGTGGTGTAGTTTTTCTACCCTTTTCTCATAAATTTTTGTTAGGTGAGTTTCATCACTCTTCACTATCAAACAAACCCTACCTTAAATTAAAAAAAAGAAAGAAAGGGTAAAAGAAGCATTTTATCAAGGATAAAGTAGCAAAAGATTGTCCCAATAAAAGGTATCATAAAAGTAAAAGATAACAGACACAAAACAAAAGGTAATTTCTCACATGACAAAAGAATATACCTATACTTTGTGCTCTTTGTCCCAGTAATTAGTCAAGAATATACCTACACTATGCAGTCGAGGTTCTGAGAATGTCGAGCTCCCGGATGTTCATGTGTGTTCGATTCCGATTTATTCCAATTCGGCTCGATTTTCATATACTAACCTCCGTTATTGGGGCGTTTTATGCAAGCAGCATATATAAGATACTTGAGAAGTACAACAGTTGCACCTATGGAGCGTTGGAATCTGGTGAATCAGAAGTTGACACACAGGTACATCAATCTCTTAATCTCTTCCATTTCAGCCTCAGGTTCATGGGATTCATAGCTCATTTTATGTCAAGCAGAGCAAGTACCAGGAATATTTGAAGCTCAAAGCAAAAGTTGAGGTCCTTCAGCATTCACAGAGGTAAAACGAGACTGTTTCTCTTAGTCATATCTCTTCATAAAATAAGAGCTGCTTGATTCATGTTAAATTTGCACTTGGGATTTTGTAGACATTTTCTTGGGGAAAATTTAGGTGACTTGGGCATCAAGGAACTGGAGCAGGTTGAGCTCCAGTTGGATTTCTCATTGAAGAAAATCAGATCCAGAAAGGTAATAAAAATTATACTTCTTCTCTTGTTTTTTGCCCATACTTTTGATGCTTCTTTGTTCTTTCAATTAGAAGTAGTATCTTATTTTGCTCTTTCATGGATGCAGATGCAGATGATGATCGACCAACTTTCTGAACTGCAAACTAAGGTATTAATATATTTCAATCAGTAACCACTAGTGTTAGATATCGTTTTACTTATGCTGTATTCTTTCTACAGGAAGAAGCCCTACTCGAAACCAATATAAACCTGAGAAAGAAGGTAAAAAATACATTCAAAAAAATTAATATTTTACCGTAATTTATCTTAATAGCATTCGTTACGTTTGCAATACTTTTCCAGTTGGAGGAAAATAGTTCGACAGTACAATCGTCATGGGAAACCGGGGAACCAAGCAATCCATACAACCATCCGCCGCCTCAGTCGGATGGATTTTTCGAGCCTTTACATTGCAGGTACAATCCCAGTAATATTACAGATGAGGATACTGCTACATGCTCTGCAGTTGCACCAGGTGGATTTATCCCTGGATGGATGCTTTGATTAATGTTTGAGCTTTAATTAAAAGAACTCCATATTTTCTCATATAAAGTGATTGGAAATTAAGAACAGACAATAATAATTAAGCAGATCCCAACTTTTATTTCGTTGTATCTCTTATTGAGGATGCCTGCATGCACAGTTTCAAGCGTGGGGCGAAGCTCCAATACTGTGAAAACATTGTAGGACAGTAACTAAGAATACCAAGTGTTTACTCCTATAATGGGTTGTTATATACATACATACATAGCTTTGAATTTGAACCCACGAGGGTGAGATTCTCTTGGTTTCGCTTTATATGTTATTATATTGCCACTAATATGAAATCTGCTCACAGCGAAAGAAAAATGCATGCCACCATGAACATCCTGATAAGATTTGACATCTTTATAGCTGGGCTGCCATATTTTCACTAGATTTATGTCTACATGGAGAATCTGTTTTCAAACAGTGTTTTTTGTTTTTGATTTTGTTTTTATTTCTTCAACGAGAAATGTCACTTTCCTTGTCGTCCATTTGGAACATGAATAAGTTCATATGGAGGAATTTCAAATAATTCTTAAATTATTTGTAAATGTTCGAACCGAATTAATAAATCAATAAAAGTACACCAACACATTATTTATAAAGAAAACATCTTGGATTTAAGAGAGAAAAATCCATGCCGTCTGTTGAGAAGTGTTTGACAAAGGGTATGAATCAATTTATCTAAGTGGTTAAATAAATCAATGTTTTTAGAAATCATATGTTCGAACACTAACGACTGCAGTAAAGTAATTGAACGTTGATTGTTAAATAATTAAAAATATTTAGAATACGTACTAATTTATAATTAACTTAATAGAAAAGTAGGTGAAAATAACGAGAGTCACCGTTTAGGGTTCTGACGATATTTATATCTATAAGAAGAAAACATGTAAACAAATAAACAAAATATTATGGTTCAAAAACAACTTAATAGGTGTATTCCAGCCAATGAGAAGTCGACAGGACATCCTTGAAAAACCACTTTGTTTTTTAACTCCAACTTCCCCTTAAACCACTTTTACTTTGGGTATTTTTCTCTCTTTTTATCTTCAGATTACAATTCTTTATATCTGTGCATGCTTTCTCAGATGCAAAGCTTCACGTTCAGCAAACAACAAGAAGAAGCAAGCTCATGGGGAGCGGTAGGGTTCAGTTGAAGAGGATCGAGATTAAAATCAACAGGCAAGTTACTTTCTCCAAGAGGAGAACTGGGTTGTCGAAGAAAGCTCACGAGATCTCCATTTTGTGCGATGCTGAGGTCGCTCTGATCGTCTTCTCCCAAAAGGGAAGGTCTTTGAATACGCCGGTGATTCCAGGTGCTTTTTTTATGCAAAAATCTAACCTTTTTTCTTCTCTATAACCTGTTGAAAGATCCATGTTCCCGTTCAGGGTTTCCCAGTCATTTGAATGTATTGGTTTCAGCTGGATTTCATGCAGAAGTTTTAGCAGGTGAAATTAAGGGAATACTAATAGTTTCAGACTAAAAAGGAGACCTTGAACATCTGACAATAACCTTATAGTACTAGAATTTAGAAGTGTTTTCAAGGATGTTGAAGTAGCAAAAGAATGGAAGCCTTTGGGTGGTGTGCTGTGTCACATCTTGCTAAAACAAGGGTATTGACCACTATATATATATATATATATATATAAGCGTGTGTTGTATGTACTAAATTATTAGGAAAAAATGAAAATAATGAAACTTTGTAATTTTTTGCAGTTAGAAAATTAAGGATATTTGCAATTCTTTTAGGAGGGAAGTAGGGTTAGGGCACAAAGAGAGGTATCTGTTACACTTGAAATTCCAAGATTCCTCCATGGACAAGTGTTGCTTCATGTAGCCCTAAATCATGTGAGCTTTAAATCTTAAACTTAAAATCAAAGTTTAAATCGATAAGTTTGGGTTAAGTTTTAGGTTTTAAGACTAGTTCAGTTAGTTGACTTCAGTGATGGAGCTACGTGTTGGCAAAGTTTAAATGATTCAATTTGCCCGTGTGCATTTATGTTTGTATATATACGTATGTATATATACAATTAGTTTTACTTGGAAAGAAAATATTGTCCTTTGAGACTGATATATTTTTATCACCGTCTGCAAACAGCATGGAAAAGATCGTAGAACGCTAAGAAAGGTATTCGAATGCTGACTTACAGCTTCTTGATACTGAGTCTAATCTAGGGAAGACAGATGGGTATAATTTCGTGGATTTCGCACTGCACCCGTTATAATTGGGGCGGGAATTGATACAAGTTAAATGAGTAGTGCATGGGTATGGATATAAAAAGTCATATTCGTCGTGGATAGTGGGTAAGTGATGGTTTTAAAACCTTACCTACTCTGTATCCGCCCGTCCCTCATCCACCTGCCCTATGTTTGTCTGCCTACTAATTACTCACCATATAAAATTTAGACCATTGTGAATTTAGGTATAATTTCAAAGACTATTCTATAAATCTTAAGATTCTATAGGACATGACTTGTAATTTAATCAAATGTTAGGGTATAAACTCAATTAATACTCAATTTATTTATTATGTTTCTTAATGGATGACTTTGTTTTATATTTTGTTGCTTATGTAATATGTGAGATTGATGCCAAGCAGGTATGAGCTGATACAAACGAGTACAAAATGGGTGGTGGATATCAAATTGGGTAGTGGGTGTGGAGCTGAATTTGATAATATACCTAAGTGAGAGAGTGTAGATTTAAAAAATTTAAACATAGTGGTGTTTTGAGTAGATAACAGATACAAAAATATTAAATGAGTTTAAGGTTAGTGGAATGGATATTCACACTCATCCCGTCTGTTTGTCATCCTTACAAGATGAAACATTGGATATACTCTTCGGGGGACACCTCTTTAACCAACAAGTCCTCGCAAGACACAAGACTCCAATCACCTTAGCTCACAGTTAATTATAATCAATTCAGCTAACCACCAATTCCCCAAGGTTCCAACAACCAAATTGGAAGGAAGACAGTAAAACTGTAGCACCAACAACAAATAAACAGAGCTTAACAGCCGTTATGGACATCAGAAAACAACCAAGCCTAACACACCTGACACCACACCTAAAAGATCGTAAAGAAAGGTATCCGAATGTTGACTTACAACTTCTTGATACTGAGTCCAATCTAGTATGACAATATGTATAATTTCGTGGATTTTGCACTGCACCCATTTTAATTGGGGCGGGAAGCAAAAGAGATTTTTTATTAAATAAATCCTGAGTCAAGAGTCTCGTTAAAAACCTCTCTAAACTTAAGCGGAGGAAAAGAGTACTCTTGACTAGGAGCAAAATACAACTCCAAACGAAACCAATGAAACAAAACACACAACTCTGCCCCTACAAATTTTGAAACCCCTTTACCAAAGACAAGGCTAGGAACATATCAACGTTACAACAACCAACAACCTTTTTGCAATAGCAGTACCTTCAACTAACACTTTAAAGACTTAACACAAACAACATCTCTAGAACCAACACAAACAAACTGAGCAGAACAAAACAAAGCTAATATAATAATCAGAGCAGCAAACGAAAAATCCAGCACTGTAGAGGTTGAACAGTCCGACTAGCAACATTACAAAACTTCTCCCTAAAGACATGAAAAAACCAGCACTGTAAGCATGTACGACATTAACCCACTTCCATCAGAAAAAACTCGAAAGAAATCGATTGTACGCACCCCATTAAACGCAAAGCAAAGCCATTCCATTACGATCACAAGGCACGTAACAACAAACACTACTAAGATCATCAAAACAGCCTATCAAATTACAGGATGAAACATTGGATATACTCTTCGGGGGGACACCTCTTTGACCAACAAGTCCTCGCAAGACACAAGACTCCAATCACCTTAGCTTACAGTCAATTGTAATCAATTCAGCTAACCACCAATTCCCCAAGGTTCCAACAACCAAACTGGAAGGAAGACAATAAAACTGCCGCACCAACAACAAATAAACAGAGCTTAACAGCCGTTATGGACATCAGAAAACAACCAAGCCTAACACATCACACCTAAAAGATCGTAAAGAAAGGTATTCAAATGTTGACTTACAACTTCTTGATACCGAGTCCAATCTAGGTATGACAATATGTATAATTTCGTGGATTTTCCACTGCACCCATTTTAATTGGGGCGGGAATTGATATATGTTTAATGAGTAGTGCATGGGTGTGAATGTAAAAAGTCATACCCGTCGTGGATAATGGGTAAGTGATGGTTTTAAAACTTTACCTACTCTGCATCCGCTTGTCCCTCATCCACTTGTCTCATATCTACCTGCCTACTAATTACTCACCATATAAAATTTAGACTGTTATGAATTTAGGTATAATTTCAAAGACTATTCTATAAATCTTAAGATTCTATAAGACATGTAATTTAACCAAATGTTAGGGTATAAACTCAATTAATCCTCAATTTATTTATTATATTTCTTAATGGATGTGTTTGTTTTATATTTTGTTGTTTATGTAATATGTGAGATTGCTGCCAAGCAGGTATGAGCTGGTACAAACGAGTACAAGCGGGTGTGAAGCTGAATTTGATAATATACCTAAGTGAGAGAGTGTAGATTTAAAAAATTTAAACATAGTGGGGTTGTGAGTAGATAACAGATACAAAAATATTAACACTCATCCCGTCTGTTTGTCATCCTTAAACTCTGAATATTTCTTTCACGCCGTTAATTTTGCTCAGTTTTCTTAAATTTGGCCTGAAAATTTGTATTGGAATTTGAAACTTGTTTGTGAGAAGGCATTGGTCTATGGATTATAATAGGCTTAAAGCTAAGGTTGAGCTCTTGCAGATAAATCACAGATACTATATATATATATATATCAGATACTAATGTTATTGAAACTAATATTTATACCTGAATACGTGTCAAATACGAATATAGCATAAAAAAAAATCGGAGCAACATAGTTTAAAAGCTAAATTTTCATCACTTTGGACTCATTGAGTCTCCAGGAATTATCTTATGTGTTGTGTCTCCTGTGATACGATCAAACTTCATCAAATAAGATCATCTGCAAAATCCGAAGAATATCAATGTTAAATGAATGTTGTGCAAATGGAACAACTGCAGAAGCTTGTAGGAAACAGATTACCTTGTCACAGATTGGACAGTTTGCTGATCTCTCCATCCACTCGTATATGCAACCGAGGTGGTAACCGTGGGAACATCGAAGAACTATCTGCGGATTTTCGGGATCGTACTCTGCGACCGAGAACCGATCGGCGAAGTCAGTCGATTAGCCGACGTACATTAAAGCCCCATCAATTTACTTGATCTATCAATTTATTTATCTATATGCATACCTTCAAGACATGTGGGACAAACATCCTCATCTTCTGATGATGGATTGGCGAAATTAACTTCGGCTTCAAGTTTCTTGTATGAGAACTCCGATCCCGACTCATAACAGTGTGTTGTCGATCTTCCTTCCGATTGCTCGTTTCCCTTTACTCCGGTAAACTGCGGAAGAATACAAATAATTAATAAGACCGGATGAAGCAAGAGACAATATAATTTGAAATTATACCTTGTCCCACAAGGCATCGATGCTGGTCGGAGTCCGACGAGGGGAAACAACTTCGGGTTCCCGGAATCGGAAACAAGAACAACAAGCTCCCATGGTTTAAGCTTTAGTATACTTCTCAACCTGAAACAATTTAGATAGAATCATCTTCATCGACGACAATCAAAGGGAACTTGACTGTGAAAAGAGAAAGATGAAGGGATTTTATTACCTTGATGAAGACGGCGATGGAATTACGGATGTTTTGAAAGTAAAATAAGAACCCAGGAATTTAGTTCGTTCGTTCAAATAAAAAGGAGAAACAAAGAAAGATTGAATTTAATGATAGGATTTGGTGGAAAATAAAATATTCTGAAGTTGAGAGATTTTCGGTTTAACATTTATAGTTTAATTTATAATAAAAGCTAACTTCTTATATTTATAATAAAAGTAGTATTGATTTACTTTTAAACTTTATTTTTAAATAAAATTAAATTCTCACTAAAAAAATAAAGTAAAATAAAAATACAACTTTAATATAGAAAACCAAAACACATAAATAAAAATAAGATCAAAATCCTCAACTTGAATACATGTTTGTCTCTATTCAAAACTAGACATATGTGATAGATTGTTCTATGAACAATTCGGGATACTGTAAGAGAGGATCTAATTATATAAGATTATTGATCTTTCCTAATCATGAGATGTTGTACTGTAATAGATGCAACATAGTATCAAACTATCATAACGATAGACAAAAATCAACACTTCAAGAATATGCAAAAAAAAATAATAATAATAAAAACATGAGGATGTTTATTTAGGTCAAAATTAAAAAATATAAGTAAAAATAAAAGCAAGAGAGACAACGACACTTAGATTGTCATCTAAGCTGATACTATGAAAGAAAAAATAAAGAATCATTTTATAGAAAAAATATATTTTTATTAATTTATGTTGATTACAAGTTATAGTATTTGTTCAAAATATTCTCATCCCTTTAACCATCAAAATAGTTTGATACAGACAATCTATATTTTTGTTCTTGTAGGGAAGAATTATCTTAGTTGGAATAGAGCTCACATAACCAGAAATGGTGAAAGAGGTGCTGAGAAACAGTGGAAAAGCTTTTCCAAAGGTGACGCGTACGTATTTCTTTGGGAAGATGTTTGCCGACGGGCTTGCTACAACAGAAAGTGATAAATGGACGAGACAAAGGAAGTTGGCTAATCATGCCTTCAACGGGGTGAGCGTAAAAGTAAATCTTAATTCATTTTGATCGCGTTTAATCATCTGATTCATCGACCATATATAATTACATTATTTGTTCTTGTTACAGAACCTGATTCCATCTGTAGTTGCTAGCGTTGAATCGATGCTTCAGAAATGGAAAGGTCTAAATGGGGAAGAGATGGAAGTACTCGAGATAACGATACATGATACTGTGAAGAAGATTGTTAGAAAAAGGGAAGAGAAAGTAGTGACCGGGGAGGCAGAAAACTTCGGCAGTGATTATCTGGGATTACTTATGAACGCTTATCATGATTCGGATAAGAAAAACAGGCTTTCGATTAAAGATTTGGTTGATGAGTGTAGAACTTTTTACTTTGCTGGGCAAGAAACAACTAATTCCGGGCTTGCTTGGACGATGCTTCTTTTAGCAATCCACACAGATTGGCAACACAAAGCAAGAACAGAGGTGATGGAGGTATTTGGTGATCGAAACCCAGATTCTGAAGGGATCGTCAAACTAAAAACTGCAAGCCAATTACAAAATCCTAACAATCCAAAATGTTGATATAAAATAAGGGTTATTCTGACTGCTGCCGGAGGTCTTCTACGGAAGCTGCTCTCAACCTGGCGTTGGGGGCAACCTACTACCCTACCTCCCCTCACTCCATTACATATGGGAATGTGGTCAGTTAATTACTGTTGTAGACGATATATATAATTAGCATATGGTTGACGGCTGATATCAATTCGGTCCAAAGCTTATGATACATGCATCGGAGTCCACAATGATAATACTTACTTCTTTGGACTAACGTTCCTACTCGAACCTATTAGAAGAATAAAGTCTCAAAAATTCAAAACATATATATTCTGTAAGTATAATGTGAGTGAATTCTTAAAGGATTCTTATGTTTCTCCCTTTGATGTTTCAGATTCGAGGTCGGATCTTTTTGAAGAGAATGATGATGATAAATGCACCAAAAGTCTCACATCAAATGAAGATGAACTAACTCTTCCAATTGATCCACACGTCCAAACCTTGGAAAAGAAGACCATAATAGCTGCATACTTGCGACAACTTTTTGAATATGATCCAGATGTTATTTGGTCGACATGTCTTTCAGAGATATGATCGAATATCTCTTAGCTTTCGAACAGTATTTGAGACTCGTCAATCTGATGTCAGAAACTCAAGATACGTTCATTTTAGCGAATGCAACACATGCAAAAATTCTTATACGAGATTAATACGCTATTTTGTAAATATTACAAATTTTCAATATTTTTATTAATTATTTGTAATATAATTTGATATATGAAGTTGCATTATAGTTTAAGACTAGATTTATTATTTTATTAGGAATTAGAATCAAACATCATCTCTAGTTATTATTGTTTTATTCATTAGTTACTTAAGATTGGAACTCATCTCCTATATAAAGGATTCGAAAGCATTCTTTATTACAAAGTTTTTCAAGTTCTTCGTGAGGGAGATCTCCACATTCTGGTTTGCCTTCTCAATACGATTAGAAGGATTGGTTAAAGTCGATTATTGGGTTTGTCAAGTCAATTGCGACTACAAGGGTTTGTATGACAATTATCTTTCATCCCGTTCTTTGATTGCGACAACAATATAATACATCTTTCATCTCGTTCTTTGATTGAGTTTAGACCCCTAAGCTTGATTCTTCAACTACGAGTAACGTTCATCACTTCGCTACCATCTCCTATCAACTTAATATATACATATATATTATTTTCATTAATAATATATTTTTAACTCTTAAAATTTTATAAATTAATCTCTAATATAAAATATTACATTTGTGTCCTAAAATAAATACGATTATAAATGCAGTCTTTGTGGTCCATACTTTTGGTGGACTTGTGAGGTTAAAACTTAGAAGGGGGGCTTGACATCCAAAAATAATATTTTTTAAGATTAACTATTTAATTAACCATTAATTTTGTTTAACCATCCGACAAATTATTTTTAGGGTAAACTATTCAGTTGACCACTTAACTATTTAGTCTTTTTATTTTTTCCATCGATCTTTTAATTTTTTCAATCACACCAAATAATTATTTAATTTTTTCAATCAAGCCACTAGTCGTTAACAGTTGCTAGAAATGATGATGTGAAAGTTAAAAGGAATTGACATAATTATAATTATGTGGCTTGATTGAAACAATTAAATAATTAAATAGTCAATTGAGTAGTGGCTTTTAACTGCCATGTCATCATTTTCGTCAACGTTAACGGCTAGTGACTTAATTGAAATAATTAAATAGTTATATGGTGTGGTTGACAAAATTTGAAAGATCGATGAAAAAAATAAAAAGGCTAAATAATTACGTGATCAACTTAGTAGTTTACCCTTACTTTTATCCACTAGATTATTTTATACACTCCAATCATGAAAGCCGTCAAAGAAAAAGGTAGTAATGAAGTCTACCATGCATCCTACAATTATTAGAGTTTAGTATTAATTTCAGTGGGGCCCGAAATTCTAATTATTCAACATTTTAAAAATATTTAATTATTACCGTCTAAGCTATATCTATTCATATTTCAATCTTTGGAAAAAAAAATCAATTATCTTCGTTGTCATAAAGAATGATGATAATGTTTGAGTAACTTAAAGTAGATTATGTCATGCTATATCTTCCCATCATTAATAAAGTTAAAAATTATTTTGTTGTTTGTGCTTTATATGTCACATTTAAGTTGTATTTTATTGGTACGAACTAAATAATCTCATTGATAAAAGAATTGTTGTTATTTTATGAGGATTCGGATTTAAGTACCAAAGATATCAGTAGTGTAAGTGTTCAAT